TCTGATATATCGAGATAAGTCTATGATATATCAAGATAAGTCTGATATATCGAGATAAGTCTATGATATATCAAGATAAGTCTCTGATATATTGAGATAAGTCTCTGATATGATAAATTGAGGTAAATTCTATATGTTATATTAAGTTAATTTATGATCTGAATTATTGAGATGCATTTTATAATATTGAAATACATTTTAAAAATATTGAGATACATTTTAAAATATTGAGATACATTTTAAAATATTGAGAGATATTTTTAAAATATTGAGAGATATTTTTAAAATATTGAGATAAAATGGGATTATTGAGATAAATTCTGGTTGTATAGATACTACAAACTCATTTTATGGAAGAATGTTGTGTGTTTGCATGTCTGTTGACATGTACATGTAGCTATATAAATAATAAAATCATCCAGTGTTATTACATAGATAATTATATATGATATTACACAATTCTTAATTAACAAACATCATTAATTCCAATCCCAAACATTCCTCTACTAGATTTTAATAGAAATAACAACACTCCAAGATCACATTATTTAACCAAGATTAACAAGTTGTTTTGTTTTATAGGTTTTATTGTCTAACAACAACACTCCAAGATCACATTATTTAACCCCACTAAGATTATCATGTTTTGTTTAATTGTCACGTTGTTTATGCTAGGTTTCCCACTGTTGTGCAATGCGTTAGGAAAGGATTGTCCCCATTGAGTCCACGATCTCGTACGTGCAGATATGTTTCGATACGATCAGCACGATTGCTACAGCTGACCAGGTGATAAGACCTGATAGGATCACCACGATTACTCCACGATTAAAACCATGAATTGAATCGCAGCACAAATCGTGATAGTGGGAACCTAACATTAACCAAGACTAATTGTATTGTGTGTCTTATGTGTTTGAAGGGTGAGGTTTTGATATTCATTTATGTATTCATATTTGAAATCAGAGATTCAAGGTTTTTATGATATGGCTTCAATGCAGTAGTATGCATAGAAATTGTAATAACTTAAAAACATTATTGGTTTAAATTGTCTTTATACAAAATGTGCAATTGTATTCATACAGAGAAATAAAAAAGTTTGTGATTATATTTGTCCCATATAAATATCTGAATATTAAAAACAAATATTAAATTGTTAGATTCTTATTTTTAAAGGATGAAATTCTGAGTTCTCTGTATTTTGTACAAAACATATCTTTGTGTTTTACTTAACAACTTTTATATTTTTAAACCAATGTCTTCTGGGTATTACAATTTCAATATATTAATATAATCACAAAATGTTTCTAAATTTCTCTGTGTTCCATATTATCCCCCCTGTGTTTTAAGTTGTGAAATTTCCTCATGCAGTTATTAAAACTTAAAAACTTTTGTTTGAAACTATTATGAGATTTGTGAAGTTGTTAAAATTTGAGCTTATAAGATAATTTTTCATTTGTTACTATAGAGATGAGAGGAATTTACTTTTGAATTGTTTTGTTGTTGTAATGATATTGATAGATATTAAGATATTAAGTGCTATGTATGTGTGCGGTTATAATAGAATATAATGGAAGATGTGTCTGAACTGAATTATAATAAAACATTTATATATAAACATGTAGTCTTGTTTTAATATGTTCTTTTCTTAAAGATATAGGGCAGTTGGATGGCCGAATGGTTAGCATGTGCGTGCTGTATCATAAAGCCTGTCATTGAGTCAACTGGTGTGGTTTCGAATCCCCGGTTGTATGTGACAAGGAGTAGGGTCGCCTGTCCAACCTCGTGGGTTTTCTCCGGGTCCTCCGGTTTCCTCCCACTGCTAAAGACCCCTATGCGCAAGCGAATTATTGAAATAAAATTAAAAACCATATGTAAGTCCCGAAATGATCTAGTTTGTGTCGAATGGACGTTAAACCCCATTTCTCTCTCTCTTCTGTTGAGAGGGGGTTGGATGGCCGAATGGTTAGCATGTGCGCGCTGTATCATAAAGCCTGTCATTGAGTCAACTGGCGTGGTTTCGAATCCCCTGTTGTACGTGACAAGGAGTATTGAAATAAAATTAAACCATATGTTAGTCCCGAAATGACCTAGTTTGTGTCGAGTGGACATTAAATCCCATTTCTCTCTCTCTCTCCCTTCTGTTGAGGGAGTGGGGGGGTCGTGGGAATGATTTAACAGATATGTTTAGATCATAAGGTCTGTCATTGTGCCATGGTTACAATTTAGTCCCAAAATGACCTTTCTGTCCATGCATGTTAAACCTCACTCCATGCCTTCTGTTCCAAGGCTTACCCCTCTTTGTAATCTAATTTTGTATAGTTATAGTTAGGAACTTTTTAAGCAAATGACATGAAATGAGGTTTAACGCCCTACTGTTCTGATCCGACTGGGCTAATGAAGACAGGCATATGCCATACAGTGTGCTATGAGAGTCATTTTGCCCAGGCAGCGGCACTATGACCTACTCTTATATTGAATTCTAAATTCCAAGGGATCTTTTACATGCACGTCAATGTGTACACTGGACCTCGTTTTTTAGTCCCATCCAAACAAGTAAACACTGAAAAGGGGAAACCATGCCGGAAAATCTCCAGACTAACGACTTCCAGGAACTCTTTAAAGTCTGTGTAACTCAGTTCTATAGAAATGAAATTAAATGCAATGTTACATCTTGTCAATACAATACTTTAGTCATTTTAAGTCTAACATTCAGTTATTTGATTTTTTATAGCAGTGCAGACAACTGAGCAACACTTTACTTGTCATCTCCACAATTACTACCCCTGACGGGGAAGAACCAGGCTTGACAAGTCTAAGGTTTCTTCACGGCCCACGCTGGGATTAAAACCGGGATATTTCTGTTGAGATTGCATCAGCTCCCATTGAATTTATTATTTAGTGTTAAGTTCAAGAAATTTGATGTTCAATAGTTGTTCAATAGTTCAACTGATGGTAACTTAAAGAAAATAATAATTTGAATTGGTATAATTTCTACCAATTGAATAGACATTTTCTTTTTAAAAACATGCATCACAACTGTGCTACCAATGGCATTCAGTTTCTGATAATAATGCAATAGTAATTATTTCCCCTTATTTCGTGATGCATGTATGTAGTGCGAGTTCTCCTTCCTGCATTTTTTGGTTGACTTTTTGGTCTAGAATTGAAGAAAAGGGATCGAATTTGCAATTTCATATCAGTTTGGGTTAATACTGATGATATTACTGCAGAGGGATAGGGGGATGTAAAGTGTCTTTCAGCAGAGCAATGAATGTGTTGGAAGTAAGATTTTGACCCCAGTCAACATAAAATCTCTGTAGCAATAAATCTAAATTGTCAACCCCATAAAAAATTATGATGAGGAGATTGCCAAATGGTCCCCTATGTGCCTATAAAGACTGGAACCAGTGGAATGTTGAGCAAAAAGCTGCAGCCTGTGATGTCACAGCCATTTAACATTGTAGTCAATGGGCAAATAATTGCTAGTCTGAGCCCTAATAGAGTATTTAACAACAGTTGTCTCCCTTGACACATCATTTTAGAAGAAAAAAACAATTTTCCATATTACAATTTTATTTCAACGGACAAACACTGCATGTTTTTAGTTAGAATGTGTCAGAAATTTATGTGTTTGTGATAATAAAGTGAATCTGCACATTTGATAATTTAATCTTTTTATAATTTTCAGTGAGTTATCTCCCCTGACACATCATATCGATCACTCTTTCTAAAGCCCATACTAGATAAAAAGTTGGTCCAAAAATAACCAAAATCCATAGTAAATTCTAGTTAAATGTATTTTTTTTAAATTTTAGATGTACTTTCAATTTATTTCAGGCAGCCATTTAAATTGGCAGTATATAACTTTTATATATAAGTTAGGCCATTATGTTTACATTTATTATCTACAGAGTATGCTATAATAATAATCTTTATTTGCACTGAAGGCCTTAGCCCTATAGTACATACATACATAGCAAAATATACAGACAAATTGCATATATGAGTGACATCATTTCAAGTCTACATTTTGTGCTAATAGGTAATCAGATCTTATTAAAAAGTTAACATTTCAGTTCTGTAGGGCAGCCACGGTGGCTAAGTGGGTAAGATGCTAGTTCGCTAGCCTGGATGTCGCGTGATCGATCCCTGCATTGGCTGCATTGGCCGAGAAAGTTCATCAGGATTTTCTGATGTGTTCCCCCTAGTCAGAGGTGTAGGACAAAGGGCCGGACAAGGACAGCTGTCTGGTCATTCGGATTAGATGGAAAACCGAGGTCCCGTGTATACATTGGTGTGCACGTAAAAGATCCCTTGGCAGTTGGTGACTACTAATTCAAGTTGGTGACTGAGTTTCAAGTTCAGAACAGTCAGTGGAGAGTGAGTTTCAAGCTCAGGACAGTCAGTGGAGAGTGAGTTTCAAGCTCAGGACAGTCAGTGGAGAGTGAGTTTCAAGCTCAGGACAGTCAGTGGAAAGTGCCAGTCAGTTGACAATGAGTATCAAGCTCAGGACCATCAGTGGAAAGTGAATTTCTTGACAAAAAGTATGTATGTTGTCAATTCATATTAATTTCCTAATTTAATGTTAGGGTTTATCAGAGATTTATGTTGACAAGTGCTGGCACACCCTTGATATGAAACCTGTAAAATGTCCCAAGGGGTCAGTGATTGGAAAATGGATGAGAACCATTGCTCTAGTTGGCCACAAAGCATTCGCAGATTTAAGTTAAGAATTTACTCAGATGTGTTTGCCTTATTTCAACTGACATATAGCCCTATATAAAAGTTTTGTTGTTTTAATGTATCAAATACATCAATAAGAAACTATGTGCAAAGTTGTGTTTTTCTGGATCAAAGATATTTCTAAAAAAAAAAAAACAGTGGTTGAAAGGCGAGTAAATTCTTAACTTAAATCTGAGAATGCTTTGTGTACTCAGGGCCTGGTTAAGTAGACAGTATATTGATTTAAAACTTGATAATAAATAACCAGAAACACTTAATTTTAATCAGATTCATTATTTATTGAATTTAATTTAAATACAAATTAGAGATCAGGCAATTAAACTTTCCATAAACAATATAATATCAGCAATTCAGATGAATGAGTATTAAATCTGAATATTGTACATTTCTTAAACCCTTCCCTTTGTTGCAAACTATCAGTAGCCATATATACTCTGCTTAGTTTAATATCATTAATATCAGTTCAAACATGTTTTTTCTTATTGAGCCGGGGCCTGTTTTAACTAAGATAAAATCCAAATTTTAGTAATTTGATTGGATAATATTAGATTGATTTTAGTGCTTAGCCAATCAAAATTGAAGTATCTACTAAAATTGGATTTTATCTTTAGTTAAGATTTTGAGAAACAGGGCCCAGGCCTACAATAAGTTATGCAACAAGGGGAAGTAATTCATGTGAAGAGCATCATCATATATTACAATAAATCAATAAATATATATCAACAAGATTCCACAAGAGTAAATTCTACTATACAAGTCAAACCAATCATATACAAAAAACACGGTGGCTTATCAATTAAATATAATATGTCAATCTATGATTTTGATTAATGATATGCTGTTAGGTATGATATACTAAATTATATAAGTTGCTGATCGTCTGAGAGAGGAGAGAGAGAGAAAGAGAGAGAGAGAGAGCGAAATGGGGTTTAACATCCATTCAACACAAACTAATAGGTCATATCGGAGCTAGCATATGGCTCAATTTTATTTCAGTAATTCGCTTGCGCGTAGGTGTCTTTAGCAGTTGGAGGAAACCAGAGGACCCGGAGAAAACCCATGAGGTTAAACACAATATTATGAAAGTTGAACCCCTGGTCCAAAAATGTTTCAATTCTGTTTAGTATTTACAAAGATACGGTTCATTGAAAATTTTGCAATATTCGGCATCCTCCAGTATGATAGGTCTGTTTTTAATGCGATTGATTCTATGCCAGTAGAAAATCTATCGTTGATATTTTGGTTTTGCTTTTTTAAAGATACTTTCCCATTAGTGTTACCCTGACATTTTTACCAAGTGCTTGCCCCATGGATGTTTCTCGGGTAATCCAGTATTTTTCTAGTAAGATTGGTTGTCTATACTTTCCATATACATATACCAAATTTGCCATACCTTTATTAGAAATAACCACTCGATAAATACTTTCGGGATACTGTATCTTTAATTAAATGTTAAAAATCAATTTGTGTAAACAAAAGCATGGATTAAAGGGCATATAACTCTATTCTCAAAATTGACAGAAGTGGGTCTAAAAGCACATATTAATGTAATATGTATATAAAGTGATTTATAATCAATTTTTTTAAAAACAATATTGTAATTTCTAATCAATTATGTTCAGTGAATTACGTGAACAGTCCAAATTGAACTAGAGTCGTTTGGGCCTACTTAGTCAATTCTACACATTTTTTTATTATTATTTTGTCATTTGTGAATCAGCCATTACTAATTACTTCCACATTGTCCTGAGGGGCTGACAAGGACAGCTGTCTAGTCGTTCGAATGGAACGAAAAACTGAGGTCCTGTGTACATATTGGCGTGCACGTAAATGATCCCTTGACAGTTGGAATTCGATATAAGAGTAGGCCGTAGTGCCGCTGTCCGGGCAAAATTTCCCTCATAGCACACTGTATGCCCATCTTCATTAGCCCAGTTCGGCGCAGAACAGTAGGACGTTAAACCCCAATTCATTTCCACATTGTCTTGTAGGATATGTTTATCTTTGTTCATTACAAATGATACCCACGACACGTGTACTGATTATAAAATGTTCATCGTGTCTTAAATATTGGATATTATGATCCCATATTTTCACGGTAAGATAGAAACATCAATTTTGATTAAAATTGACCAATATTGAATTATAATTCGTGTTTTTAGTTTTGAATATTATGGAAAATATTGAGTTGGAGATTTAGCTCCTTTAAGCAGTGAAAAATGAGATAATGTCCCAAATATGGCAATGACGATCAGCAACTATAAGATGGATGTACACTGATACTTTAACAACTGATTTTTGTGGTGTAAATATTACAGATATGCTTTGATTAATTTAATCATTTTTAAACATTATTATATTTTAATTAATGAAAATTAAGGTTTTTCAATGAAAATTAAGGTTTTTCAATGAACATTCTTTGTTTTAAATTTGTTATCTCAATTTTTAGCAAATTTTTTTTCAAAATATACCAAAAATTAAGGACTTTTCATTGATTAAGTTTGTTTGTTAAATTATTGCATTACATTTGTAACAAGTGTAACAAGTCACATTTATTCCGAGTAATAAGAAATAACATATTAAAGCACTGTCTTAATATTGCTTTATAACAAGCATTGAGCTCATAAATAAGGCTTACACAAAAGAGGGTTTTCACAAATTATTATGACAATGATGATCTTTTATTTTGGCTTCTGTCTTCCCTGGGTCATTTGAGAAATAAATATTGATTCTTTTATCACTAATCTGATTCAAATACAGATCTATATTTCGTTTCGTTTTTTATATACTTTCGATGGCCTACACTACATGAACATCTGACCAGTTGATTTGGGAGGTCACGGCCGAGGTCATACAAGCGGCTTTTGACCCTATGAAGTCAGATATTTGATTAATCGATCAGCATTGATGTTTCTAGTGGATTACCAACAGTTCCATTCACCTCACGCCAAAAGCTTGATGCAACAGACTGTTTCATTGGCCAATCCCTCACATCATCCAGAACATGTCAATGATAACAATTTTTCCAGATCCTAGTGAAGTAAAGACAAGTAAAACGAAATTTTGAACTATAAAAAACGAAACGAAATAGGATCTGTGTTTTAATCAGATTGTTTTATCACACACAGGGAAAGGGAACATAGTTACTTAGGTAGCGGACAGACTCCTATAAGAATCCGTTACTAAAGTAACTAACTGTAACAAAGATAACATCCTCCAGTTTAATCACTTATCATATAAATTATGAAATGCTTATCGGTTTTCTAACGATTAATGAATATGTAACAATGTATGAAAATATTATCTTAGCTATACAATCTCAAACCATCTAATAAATCTATTTACATCTTGCATAACGCTGATCAATGTAACATAATTACACTTTTCAATCATAATATTTGTACAAATAACAATTGAATAGCACGTATGAATAATAAATGAAACATGCTTAGGTAACAATTGAAATAATATAATGAACAATCGTGAGTTAGCATTTTTAACAGAAATATTAACTTTATTCTCTGAATGTCATTTAGGACATTTAACCCCATTTCATTTCATTTGTATATAAATGTATAGCAAACAATACTTGATGGATTGTTAATCCCTTCCAAATTACAATATTCTTAACTTAAAGTTGAATCTCAGAACGGGATAAAAGTCAAAACACGGTTCAAATCCATTTAGTATTTACAAAGATATGAGGAATTAAAAATTTGTCAACACTCGGCATACTCTAGTTCAGAGGTGTCAAACATTCGGCCCGTAGGCCAGATCAAGGCCTCCAAGGGTTTAAATATGGCCCGTGGAACAAATTGATAATTCTTAGAAATTAGCGGTGGAAATCATTTATTATTGTTTTCCGGTTTCATTAAAATTCTGTACTGTATGTCATAGATATCTAAATTGTATGTAATACAAGAGAACATTGTATTCAATATTATATCTTGGCAATTTGGAACCCAGTCTAAAAAAATTACCTGTGTCAAGGACATTTGGCTTTGTTTTTAGAATTCAGTAAATTTCAAAGACGCTTGGCTTTGTTTTTTGTAATTTTTGTATATCTCTGGTCCACTTGATGTAAAATGTTAGCTCATGTGACCCTTTGAATCGAAGTGAGTTTGACACCCCTGCTCTAGTTGCAGACAATATAAACGGAATATGTTCAAAACAAGCTAGCCCACCTATAAACTTTAGATGCGCCACTTTTTAATGTCAATGAATCTAAGCAAGGAGATTAATTACCATTAATAATTTGATTTTGTCATCTAAATTCAATTTTAAATAATCAATTCTAGTATATCTTAGTGTGGATTAATCCACGAAAAATTTGATATTGTCCTAACAGTGACTTTAACTACCGCATCAGTTTATTCAACTGTATACCAAATGAAATGGGGTCTGATGTCCTACTGTTCGGGGGCCTGTTTCACCAAATTTTACTAAGATAAAATCCAAATTTTAATAATTTGATTGGATAATATTAGATTGATTTTAGTGCTTAGCCAATCAAAATTGAAGTATCTACTAAAATTTGGATTTTATCTTAAGTTAAAATTTTGTGAAACAGGCCCCTGCTCCGACTGAAGATAGGTACAATGACATACAGTGTGCTATGAGGGAAATTTTCTCCGGATAGCAGCTCTATGGCCTACTCGTATATCGAATTCCAACTGCCAAGGGATCTTTAACGTGCATGCCAAGGATCTCAATTTTTCAACCCATTCGAATGACTATACATTATCCCTAGTCAGGCTCTCCGTCCTGCATCACTGACAAGGGGAAACCACGTTGGAAAGACTGTGTATACAAGATCTAGTCAAATGGTTTTACCAGCCAAAAGTATTAATATTTCTGATAATAATTCTATGTATAACAGTTTATAAAAACTTACTATATAAATGTATATTGTAAATAATATCATTATTAATCTAAAAATGTGCAATATTCACATTCACATGCTTATTATAATAAAACATTTGGACAGGCGACTATACTCCTTGTCACATTCACACTGGGAATCAAAACCATGCCACTTAACTCAATGACAGACCTTATGATCTAAAGACATGTGTTAAATCATTTCGCCACCCAACCCCGCTTTTTAGATTAGAAGACATTACATTATAAAGTATCTCATTAGTTAGAAGAATTCTAGTTCATGACAAAAACCCGAGATCGCCCTTCCTCTTTTCTCAAATCACAAAAACTCATCTGATATTTTATATGGCATAGAAAAATATCTTTTAGGCAAAAAAGAGTGATGTCCTGTGTGAGTCCAGCATAAGCAGAAATGATCACATTTCAAACCCTGTTGTCGATTTAAGAGCATTAAAATGAATGATATAATTATCACAAAGATAGAGGAAGCAAATGGCTGGGTGTCAGAGAATAAATAATTGTGTATTTATAAATTTAAAAAAACAGTATAAAAAGTAAGTTTTAAGGAGAAAGTGGAAGAATTTCTCGATTTAAAAAAAACCCAATAAGACATATTTAACACATTTAACATAATATGCAAATAAATCGTTAAATTTTGAGATGTTAATGATTTAATGCATTAATTTTTTTGTAGAATATATGTATACGATGTATATACAGTTATTATATTAAAGAGAATTCCATGTACATTTAACACCCAATGGAGAGACATATTTCATAATTTTGACAACTATGATGAGATATTTAAATAAATAATCTGAGTTATAATAAAATACTGTTATAAAATTAAAATAGCCTATATAATGAAACTGAGCAACTTTGAATATCTTTAATAGATACGTATATAGACTTGATACTGACCATGTTTAAGTTTGTAAGCAGATGAGTGTAAGCATGGCTCCCAATAGTCATACAGTTGAGGAGCTTACAGTGATTGTGATAACGTGATATTATTAAACAAACACCTTCTCCTTCAGAACTGTTGCAATGAGTCTAACGTCTCGTCAACACAATGCTACAGTCATTATGTTGAGACTAACATGTGGTAATTTCGAGACTAACATGTGGTCATTTTGAGGCTAACATATGGTCATTTTGAGACTAACATATGGTCATTCTGGGACTAACATATGGTCATTTCGAGACTAACATATGGTCGTTTTGAGACTAACATATGGTCATTTTGAGACTAACATATGGTCATTTTGAGACTAACATATGGTCATTTTGGGACTTACATATGGTCAATTTGAGACTAACATATTGTCATTTTGAGACTAACATATGGTCATTTTGAGATTAATATATGTAATTTACATTTGTAGAATGTGTGGAAGAGAATCATGCCCAGGCACCAGGTTTTTCACCTGCTGCCAATAGTTTTCCATCCCATCAAACATTCAGGCACACTTTCTTGGTGCCACCTCTAGAGAGACCCTTGCTAGCAATTTCCTGACTGTTGAACTGTGACATTCTATAGTCTAGGAACTACTACCCTAACATTCGATTACGCCCCTATAACAACTGTTGGAAGCCATGCCTTATATCACAGTGTATATTCACTAAGAAACAATACTCCCTATGTTTTAAAATCATGTCATTGTTAATATACAGTGCCTTGCACGATATGTGAGAATTACATACAGTGGCGGACTGGATGTAAAAATATTGGTTGCCAGGAGACAAAGGGAGCCCACCCACCAATACAATTCTATCATTTAATTTTTAAAATGAATAAATTAAATTTTCAAAAATAATTAGTGGAAACAAAAAGATGTAATTAGAATTTTCCCGATTTTGTTTTCTTTATATTTTTTGATAATTTATAATTTAAATATATTGTTTAATGTCTAAGCGGGCCCACTTCGTCTGGGGCCCACTTGAGCAAGCTGACAACCTGGCCAGTCCGCTACTGATTACATTGTTAAAATAGACAGAATAATATCAATGTTACTGTCAGGTATATTTTGGCGTAGTGCTTTATAAGTCAATACACCCCTCTTTTTTGGTTTAATTTTTTTTACTTATTTGGAAGATATTATATAATCAACTATTGATATCGTAATCAGATAAAATAAAAAGATAGAAATGAGGGTTAGATGTAAGTTAAGTCAGGCATTATTTCTTCATGTTTATAACTTGTTATTAACGGCTTGAAATTTAAATCAAATTTATATCCATAAAATTGTTTTATCAGAAAAAATAAATAGATCACTCTGAAAATTATTTCACACCAGAAAAAGAATCAACATCAACATGTTGTTAATTTATCTTGATAGTGCTTTACCATTCTTGTACCCATCGGTTTCAAACTTAGAGTCTCTTGTATCATGCAGCCACGGTGGCTAAATGGCTAATACTAGAAATGAACCCAGGACCTCCTGGTCTGTAAGTCAGTGCCATACTAACCGAAATGGCCTTGACACAAGAGAATATTGTTTAAAACTACTGAGTACGAGAATGTTTGATTACATGCTCTCATATATATATTTTAAGTATATCTTTGTAAAGACTATAGTAACTAATAATAATATTAGAGATATATCTTTGTAAAGACTATAGTAACTAATAATAAGATTAGAGATATGACTTTATAAGATTATGATAAACACACAACAATTAAAGGACCCAAACCACTTTGATTAAAGTCATAATAAAATGCTGAATTGGTTGATCTGATTATTGACTTAACAATATTTTATACAATTAGATTTTTTTTTTTTGAAAGACTTTTGTTTGGCTTAAAATATTGTCAGTTATATCTCAATATTTGTTCTATTTGTGAACCTAAAATTTTAATATAGATAAATACCAACTTCACAGAATAAATCAACACAGCAAATTTAATGTAATCAAGACTGTATCAAAGAGGGTGTTATCAGGGCTTTCAACTCAGTCGGTCAATCATTTGCCACCTTTTTTTTTTTAGAGACAATAATAATTTTTATTAGTATTATCCCAATTTTGTTAATATATTTTTAAGTGTTTTAACAGTAACAGTATTTATTGTGGTTAAAGGATAAATTCTTTGCAAGATCAGGCCCCAAGTTCACTAAGCATTCTCAGACTTAAGTTAAGAATTTATTCAACTTTCAATCACTGTTCATGAGAAATATCTTTGATCCAGAAACACAAAACATTGTACATACAGTAGAATCTGTATTAAGCAGCCACCCAAGGGAATTTTCACAACTGACCGCTTAACGGGAGTGGCCTCTTAATAAAATCTCGTTGCTTTTTGTGCCGACATAAATTAAATATTACTCTTGGATGCATTGGAAGCGGTAAATTTGGCCGTCGCTGAATCTTGCGCCGAACGAAAATTCTTTACTCAAATCTCGGACATAATTTAACGGGAGTGGCCTCTTAATAAAATCTCGTTGCTTTTTGTGCCGACATAAATTAAATATTACGCTTGGATGCATTGGAAGCGGTAAATTTGGCCGTCGCTGAATCTTGCGCCGGACGAAAATTCTTTACTCAAATCTCGGACATAACTTCTGTAAACTTGTCATTTTGTACCAACCTTCGATACTACTGTCTACCATTGTGATGCATTCGATAATATTTATCAATTTTTGTGAAGAAAATCGATGAATTCATTTTATTTTATCAAAAAAGCACATGAACAAAAAACATCGCTAATTTTATCTCCTATTTACAGGGGGTGTAACTCTGTATGTAATATTATAGGAGGCGCTAAGAGAGATACTAGATGATCGTGACAAAACTCGGTACTTTTATTTTATTCAATCAGTATCAAATAATGTGTCGTTACGCGTGAAAACAATGATCAGGTTAGTCGTTTAATAAAACAAAAGATTAATTAACAGATAATCCCGGGTTGATTGTTATGTTTACATTTCTTTTTACCTGATCAGTGGGGGTCCAGTTAATTAACTACTACTCACGGGATTAGCGGGGGTGTTACAAAGAACGACAAGATGGTATCATTCAACAATGGCCGTTGAATGGGCGATGTTTTGTTGAATTTATTAGTAAAATAGTGACCGCTGGCCGCGTTAGAGGAGTGACCGTTGAATAAAGAGATAAAACAACAGAATTTCTACGGGGGGAATTTATCATGACCGCTTACAAGGAGATGTCGCTGAATAGGAGTGGCTGCTCATACAGATTCTACTGTAGTTTCTTATTGATGTATTTGATACATTAAAATAACAAAAGTTTTATAAAGGGCTATATTTTAGTTAAAAGAGAGAGAAAAACAGGGTTTAATGTCCACTTGACACAAACTAGATCATTTCGGGACTAAAATATGGTTCAGTTTTATCTCATTAATTCGTTTAGTTAAAATAAGGCGAACAATTTTGAGTAAATTCTGAATTTAAGTCTGAGAAAGCTTTGTGAACTCAGGGTCTAATTTTACTGGCTGTAAATTGACTGACAGGTAATGTCTCTAGTATTAGGTCAATTTCACTGCCAGTCAGTCAAAACCAGCAGATATGACTAAAATAACAGATCTAGGTCCGTTTAAAATTCGTTAGCATCACCATAACTAGATAATGAACTAGAAGGAGAGTGGGGTTGTTCATCAATGGACATAAATGAATCACATGAACTTCGTGCTGGAGAATTACGATTTATGCGCTTTTTTCGACGCTGAATATTTGAATTGTTTTCTTTGTCGTTTATTTCTAGATCATCGCAATTACGTTCGTTATATAATCCATTTCCTGTATAAGTTGAACTAGATGACAGCCACTCACAATCAACACTCGCAAATTTTCCACGTCCAAACTTTAAACGTCTTGAAGAACACGACAGAGGGTTAGGTCTATGGACAGAATTTGATTTCGATTCTAAATTGTCATCGCCACTATGATCGCCATCATCTTTATCAGAGTTATCCTCTCCACAATATAAAAGTTTCTGCGCTATTGTTTCCGATAAACTCTCGGACATTAGCATACTCTTTGATCTGGATTTTAAAATCTGTTGGTGAGTGTTCCATTTAGCACTTCCGTGAAGAGATTCCATGTGTAATTCTTCTGCTGCTTTCCGCAACAGAACGGGAGATGAAGGCAGTGATTGACATTTTCTACCAGACGCAGACTTTTGACGGAAGGAGAAACTAGAATCAGGGGTGATTGGTGTACAGGGCGGAGTAAACATGGCCGTTGGAGATGGAAGGTCGGAAGAATGTTCACGAGGTGTACCAAACAATTTTCTACCATCTTTGTAACTAGCAAATGGATTGTTCTCTGTGGGTAAATAAAACTGGTCATCTTTACTCATAAACTGACCAATCAACAAGGCTGTTGTTGGCAATTCGTCCATATTTTCTACATCACTAGAGCTGTCATTGGCTTGTAGAATATTATCTTCAGATTTAGATCTTTTACATCCTTTTCTTTTAGCTGAAAGAATCAACATTGATCTTATATATAAAATACAGATGTGGCATCACCCTTTGATGTTGGCGTCCCATTATTTCAAATAATCGTACGAACAACTTGCCAATCGTACATTATTTATACTAGTGAAATATTGGACTCGCGTGACGGATTTCACAGTAAAAGCACGTGCAGAGTGTCTGTATTTTAATTCGTTTAATGGTCTTGAGCTTAAGACATTGCGTAATATATTGTAAAAACAATCGGGCCTATGGCCCTCTTGTTGTTACACTATATTACTTAATGTCTCGCTCTCGACCGTTAAACAACACATAAAAAAACCCAAACCAATTATGAAGGATAGTCTAATAAAAGACACCTTAAAACTTTTCAAAAGCTGTAAAATTTTGTATTTTATATCTATATGTTTGTGACTGTCATTTGTCTGTTTGTGCATCTGTTCAGAGTTGGCGACTACACTAGGAGAGGAGGGAAAGATATGGAAGATTTATCAATACCATCACATAACTGTTCAAAGACACTGAAAGGGATCTGACTAACTTGAATTTTGTTATCTTGAGCTTGAATTATATTCAAAATAATAAAAAAAATCATCTTAACATGAATTTTTTTTTTTTTTGACCCAAAATTTGTTTTTTATTTGAAGTACTTACATTTAATACTATATACTGTTTCAGGCAGAACTCAGTTTGCTTTTATGCTAAAGCAGGCCAGTCTCTTGAGGTGGAGCATAGCCCAAAAAAGATTAGGGGAGAGAGACAGAGAGAGAGAGAGAGAGAGAGAGAGAGAGGGTGCACCTCAGAACCCAGAAGTTAATGAATAGACATGTTTGTAACATCAATACTGACTTGATATTATGATATTCTTACCTCAAATTAAAGATACATTATGTAAGATTTAGATAAAGAATAGCAATTCTTGCTACGATAGTTCGAAAGTAGATGATGTTAAATGAATAATTTGAAAATTTCATTCAAATAACTCTATTGCAAGCGAAGATATTAGCCTTTGAAGGTTTGACAGATGTGTGAAATAATTTCAACCACCGTACTGGTTGATCGAAGCTAAGTATCGGTCCTCCATATTTGATTAAATCAAAGTATCGCTGAACCATTCTAATCTATTTAATATCGGAGAAATCTGATGCCATCGAGAGTTGATTAAGGCCTGGATCAGTTAATTAATGTCTAATTAATACTTAAGAAAACATTTCAGGCCTAAAGAAAGACCTGCAATAGGCAGATTTAGCTCTTGCATAATGCATGTTTAACTTGGGATAATTTCTAATGGAATAGAAAATCCATTAGGCAATGATTGAATATGTTCTTACCTCCCTTTAAAGGTTATTTCTAAGAAAATTGTTAAAATTCTGATAGGTTATTTCTAAGAAAATGGTTAAAATTCTGATACAAAATTTTTGTAGTATGCTAATTATACCTAGCACTAATCCAGCGGTACCTTCTTCCAGGAAACAAGGATTCCACATCAACCACGATGAAGGACTAAACATGCAATTGTACTGTCCTAGATCAAGCTTTATATAAACATTTCAGCCTACGCCAAAGCTGCATTTGTAAGAGAAAAAAAATAAAAAACCTGAAATTTTTACCTCTTTTGTTATTTTGTGCTTCTTGTATCAAGTCATTTTGTAGATTTTTAAATATTTTTTCTAAAGAGACTTCTATTTCTCCAAAATATGGTCTTTTCTTGGGATCAACCTGTGAAGACAACAAATACTTTAATCAATACTGGGGCTAAATCTATCTCTTAAGGCCAACTTCAGATTTCACCAAGGTTGCTGAGATGTGAGAGACAGAGAGAAATGGGGTTTAACATCCACTCAACACAAACTAGGTCATTTCGGGACTAACATATGGACAGACGACCCTACTCCTTGTCACGTACAACTGGGGAATCGAAACCACGCCAGCTGACTCAATGACAGACCTTATGATACAGCGTGCACACACTAACAATTCGGCCATCCAACCCCCCCACCCCCTCCCACCCGTTGAGATGTAAACAAGGTTAGGACGTGTGATTATTGATGAGATTGTGGGTTAGGGTCTGGGTAAGGGTGAGGGCTAGGTCCAGGCTTAGGGTTGGGATTAGCGCTAGTCCTGTTTACATCGCGTGACCTGTGACCAAATCTGGAGGTAACCTTAAGAAATAGATCTAACCTAATATTGTTTTCAAGTCCCATAACAAAACAATTTTATGTTAGAATATAGAATTAATAATTATTATGCATTAAGATTTCTAAAATCGTAAATAGAATCTTTATCCATTTATCAAACTTCTCTTTAGATCAACTAAAAACTATATTATTTTATATAACATATACATGTGCTAAGTAGTTTTTAGATGCAGCAGTAAACTGGAGTACAAAGAAAAGGCAAGGTTTGGCAAACAACCCTTTCTACTACTTGACACATATGTTTTGGGTTGAATCAAAGACATATGCACTTAACACCAACAAGGTCATGTCAGGACTAACTTAAATTTTCATTACTGGTTGTGTACTATCATGGGATATAACACACTGTATTTGACACAATCACAGACTATTTATTCTGTAAAGTTAAAACTCAAATAATGTAACTTACATGACAACATTTGAAGGCTAAATGTAAAAAATCTAAAGGACTATATATAACCATTTCTGACAACGCTACATAATCAACTCCAAAATTCTGAAAATATAAATAATAGTGTTCATGTATAAATTTATTTCCCTTCATGATGTTTTATAAGGCCTTGGAGAAGAATTATACCAACCAAACACTGGCCATTCCATCTAGCCTACATTTATTCAAATCCCAACTGCCAAGGACTACCAAACAACCTGGATAGTTTGCTTATCAAATGGGATCTGGATTTGAATAATGTCTTTGAGTCCCTTGTTACAAATGACGCTGAAATGTTTATTTTGTCTTAAATATTGGATATCAGACATCAATGTAGATTAAAATTGACAAATAATTCGTGTTTTCAATGTCGAAGACTTTTGATGATATTGAGTCAAAGACTTGGTTACTTGAAACAGATAAAATAAACTTCTTATTTAAATTAAGTGGGGGAGCATGTACACCACAATTTACAGCGATAATTTCATATCTAAAAAAAGGAATTTTAATTTTACTCTTTCATTTGATGCCCCCACCTGAAATCACACCTCTGCCCCAATCACTGCACACCTATCGTCTACCATAATTAATTGCATTCAAGAGACAAATTTAAATGTTTAGTAATAAAATAAGAAACGAAATGAAATGGGGTTTAACGTCCTACTGTTCTGCTCTGACTGGGCTAATAAAGACAGTGTGCTATGAGGAAAATTTTGCCCAAGTAGCCACACTATGGCCTACTCTTACATCAAATTCCAACTGCCAAGGGATCTTTTACGTCCAAGCTAATGTGTAAACGGGACCTCAGTTTTTCATCCCATCCGAACGACTAGACAGCTGTCCTTGTCAGGAGAAACCATAATAAGATAAGATTGTTATACACATAAAATACATACAGTTGTTCTAGGTAAGATATCAGGATCTGCTTCTATTCTAGCCGTTATTTCACATAATATTATACCATAGGAAAATACATCAGCCTATTAAAATACAACAAAAATAGTAGGGTATGTTTACTCATTCTAGACCATGTGATACCACTTCTCATTTGAAAAGGTCATATAGCTAACATGTCTGAGCCATTTGGCTGGTTATTCTGATTCTGGCCTCGATTCTCGACTGAATGAGGCAGAATATTTTTTACTTTCCCCAGAATACATGATACTAGTCATTTAAAGAGTGTACACAGCTAACAAATCATTGTAGTAGATTTGCATTATCCCATAAGAAAATCTGCCAACCTATTGTCATTGGAGAGAGAGAGAGAGAGAAATGGGGTTTAACGTCCACTCGACACAAACTAGATCAATTCATGACCAACATAAATATGGTTCAATTTTATTTCAATAATTCGCTTTGATGTAGGGGTCTTGGACAATTTGTTCCTTGGACAATTGTGGATCCATTGACAGAGATTTTTGATATAATGTCATAATTTCAAGATGGCGGTGATGACGCCATGCTCGGTTCTTGGTCTAAAATACTTACCAGTTCATTATAGAATTCACCTCGTAGTACTTCTGGTGCCATCCAATATGGTGAGCCTACTATAGACAGTTTAATATTTGGATCACTGCAATAGTCAAACATTGTGTACATTAATATTGAGGAAAATAAAATAGAGTGAGACACAAACTAGGTCATTTCAGGACTAACATATGGTTCAATTTGATTTCAATAATTCGCTTGTGCGTAGGGGTCTTTAGCAGGGTTAGATAGGCGACCCTACTTGTCATGTACAAGCGGGGGACCAAAACCACGCCTGTTGGCTCAATGACAAAGAGGGGCAATGGCATAATGTTCATATCATGAATGCGGACGTATAAAAATGTCGACATCCTACACTGGCGTGGTCAATAAACAATTTAACACAAATATCCAATTTTTAAAATTTCAATTAAATGTTGTTAATCATTAATTTGTGTTATTTGAACTAGAAAATTAAAATCAGCAGTCCATTTAATAAGTCAGGATATTAATGCTATAATTACATTATCATAGACCAGCATAGAATACTAAATTTGTTAACATTGTAGCAAGTAGCTGAATAAGCCAATATGCAATTAAATTTAGTATGTAAAATATGCAATTAAAATTACATAACCTAAGACATTAACCTTAAATAATAATGATTTACATTGCAGCAAATATCTGAGTAAGGCAATATGTAATTATATTTAATATTAAAAATATAACATTAATTGCATAACTAAAGAAATGAAATGAAATGGGGTTTAACGTCCTACTGTTCTGTTCAGAAATGAACTAATGAAGACGGGCATACGCCATACAATGTGCTATGAGGGAAATTTTGCCCGGACAGCGGCACTATGTCCTACTCTTATATCGAATTCCAACTGTCACAGGATCTTTTACGTGCACGCCAATGTGTACACAGGACCTCGGTTTTTCATACTATCCGAACAACTAGACAGCTGTCTTTGTCAGGCCCTCCTTTCTGCAACACTGACAAGGGGAAACCACGCCAGAAACTCTGGATGAACTTTCCTGGCCAATGCAGGAATCGAACACCCGACCTCCAGGATAGTGAGCCAGCGTCTTACCCACTTAGCCACCGAGATCCCCTGCAGACATTAACCTGTGAAGAAATGAACTCTACTGGGGTTTAACTCTTACTTATCTGCACCAACTGGGATAATTAAGACGACAGGCGTAAGCCATGCTGGGACATTTTGCCCGCATAGTGCTGTGTCCACCCGCGCTGTGAAGTGTACTCAGTTTGAGCTTTTTTTTTTTCCCGTACGAATGACTAGATTCTTTTTCATTGCCAGGCTCTCTGTCCTGGACTACTGACAAGAAAACACCTGGCGAGATAATTCCAAGAAATCTGGATAAAACCCAGAACATTCCTGATAGTGGATCCAGCAGCTTATTATCTGAGCTACATGGTGGGATGAAACAGGTAGATGATCATCATAAAATATTTGAAATATTTAAAATATGATTTACGCTAGATCATGCCAAATTTTTTAAATAAACAAATCAGAAAAAAATATCTGCACCTGTAACTTCATATATACACTGTAACCCAGGTATTACTTAATCTTGTGTATTTAGCATTAATTTCTTTCACATTCGTTTCATATCAAATCTTTGTTTAAAGATTCGTAAAAATCGTTTAAAATCACCCCAAATCATCTAATTTATATTTGTGCCCAGTTTAAAGCTGACCATTCAATTTTGATATGAGTATCCAATTTACAAGCGTTTAGTTTCTCGATCACTGTTAAAAAAAAAACAACCCAATTTATTATTGATGTATAATGATTTATTTTTGAACAGTGGACAGGAAATTAAATACTTGAAAATTGAACACTCATTATCAAAATTAAACTGGACGCAAGTACAAATTAGATGATTTTTGGTGATTTTAAACGATTTTTACGAATTTTTAAACAAAGATTTGATATTAAACGAATGTGAAAGAAATTAGTGCTAGATACACAAGATTAAATGATACCTGGGTTACAGTGTTAACACAAGGTACAATTTTATGGATACACAATTACTGAGTTTGGGTGATTTAAATGACTTTGACAAATTTTTCAACAAACATTTGAACATGAAAGAAATTAGTGCAAGATACACAAAATTAAATTATACCCAGGTTACAGTGATATATATCATAACAATTTGTTTTTCTAAAAGACATACCAAAAATATCTACTAAATCAAAATGGTTGATGATAACATACATGTGTCTGTTACATCTACTCCAGTTACGCACGGATATAAAACATTTCGTAGTGTGAAATTAGTGTTAATTAGACTTACAGTGGATCTGGTATCTTGGCAGAAAGACCAAAATCTGCTACAATCGCCCTCATATTACCATCAGGTTCTTTTTTAACTAACACATTCTGTTTAAAAAATATACATATAGGTGATAAATCTTAACTCAGGGTAATATATATAGTTTGCACCATTTAATGGTATTATCGTACATATCAGTGATGAATCTTAACTCAAGGTAATATACACAGTTTGCACCATTTAATGGAATATTAATACATATGCTGACATGAATCATCTAAGAAACGGAGAATTCAATAAAACAGCGGGCCATCTTAAATGCCTTATTCTAGAACTTGTATGAGATCAGAGCCATCTTAAAATTTGTATTTTTAAACGTAAAATCTCCTCCACAGAATTGTTTTTAAAAGACATTTTGTTCAAATATAGCAATAGGTCCATTTTTCATGCGATGATATGATAAATGTTCCTAAAATGTATAGAAAAAGAATAGGCAGACGACCCACTCCTTGTCACATACAAACGTAGGTATCAAACTCGCAACGTTGCATAGATGACAGACCTTGACATCTACAGTCGACTCTGCCACCTATCTCCCCCCCTCCCCTGATAATTCAGAAAGGTGGAATCTGATATCACCATGACCTTATTTATTAGTTTTAAAGTTGCCAATTATCATTTGAGAGATTTTAAATTCCTTGAAAAATACAGAACAGTGAAAAGTTGAATCTCTGATAAACGGAATATCATCTAAAATTCAGCATATCCTGCAGACAGCATAAACAAACCAACACCACCTTTAAAGATACATTCTATAAGATTTAGATAAAGGGCTGGCCGTTTGTGCTATAATAGTTGAAAAATAGATAATACAAAGTGAATATATTAAAAATTTCATTCAAATTACTTTGTTCTGAGCCTAGTTATCACTGTTTTGTAGTTTTGAAAAGATGTGTGTATTGATTGTTTATTATCGTAACCACGGTACTTGTATATTCAAGTCTTAGTCTCGCTTACTCATTTTTAAATTAAATCATTGAATGGTCGGACAATTCTAATCTAGTTAAAATCTCGAGTATCGATGGCATCAAGAGTTGATTATGGTCTTGTCATGTTAATAAATGTCTAATTGATAATTCATAAAGACCTGCAGATTTAGCTCTTACATAATTTTTGTTTCAAGGTGATTTTATGGTGGATTATTGTTCGAAAAATACAAATGATGATAAGTGGCTTTAAGAACAGATATTATGTAATTTCATCAGGTTCTGGATGAATTAAAGCCAATCACATTAACGAAATGGTATTTTGTAGAACGCTATAATTAGAATAGACCAAATGAGAGTTCTGACATAACGAAGGACCAGAGCGGCCATTAACACTTGGTGGTTAATGATGATTGTCAATCACACCAGGCTCTGTCAATCACGCTAATCACTAAAATCTTTCGATTATATTAAAACGTGGAATTAAAATTTATAAAAAAAAAAAATCATCCCATTACTGTTTTTATTTACAATGGATAAGAAATAAATACATCTGCTTGTGATATTTTTAGTGGAAAATAAATTTAAGATTTGTTAACTCATTTTGTATTTTAATCAAATGACGTCTGATTAGGACAGAAATTGCTTGACATCTAATTTCATGGATACGATGCAGATGGTATATCACTTTTGCTTCAAATTAAAATTCATGCCTTGCGTTGTGGTCGTAGACAGCATTAACAATAAAATCTAAAGATCTACAAACCTTTGATGTTAAATCACGATGTATGAAACCACGGGAATGGATGTATTTCATGCCACGAGCTATGTCTAGCGATAATTTAATACGCCAGATCCACGGTAATTCTTCCTCCTCCGCTAATTGTTGTTCTAAGCTTCCTCCATTGATGAACTGAAAAAACGAAAATAACATTTATACCAACAGCCTTTTCATTTTGTTACATCGGCTTCATGCTAATTTTGTGAAATTTAATCACAGCTAAAAAAAAAAACCAAACAAGATTCCCCCTCTAAATCACAATATATTTCCTTTGGTTTAAGGTAAAGTATTCTAATTGAATATAAAGATCTTTTCAAGCTGATATTCAAATCACATTGCATTGAACTTGTGGAGCCATTGTGGATCGATCTAATTAAAATATAGATCTATATTTCGCTTCGTTTTTTTATACTTTCAATGGCCTACACTACATGAAGATCTGACAAGTTATAGCGATAGGTCGCGTCAGAGGTCGTACGAGCGGCCTTTGACCCTATGATGTCAGACATTTGATTAACCAATCAGCATTGAAGTTTCTAATGGATTACCCACAGTTCCGTGCAAAACACGCCTAAAGCTCGCCGTAACAGACTGTTTCATTGACTAATCCCTAACACCATCAATGATAACAACTCTTCCACATCCAAGTGTAGTAAAGACAAGTAAAACAAACATTTTGAACTATAAAAAACGAAACAAAATAGGATCTGTGTTTTAATCAGATTGATTGTGGGTCAGTGTGTATGGTATTTTCTCACCTACCAGGAGATCTGAGTTTATTAATCCCAGTATTGGCAAGAAAGTCCATTCTAATTTCTCCTTGTCAGTGGTGCAGGACAGACGGCCTGGCAATGTAAGGCATGATAAAACCATATCGACCTGTGTTGCTTTGCAAGCAAAGAACCATTGACAGTTGGATTTCAATGAAGGGTAGACTGTGGCACTGCTACCTGGGCAAAATAACTCTATAAGCACACTGTCTGGGAAAAGTTACTCTGTAAGCATAGCTTAAGCCCGTTTTCATTAGTCCAGCTGGTGCAGGTCACTAGAACATTAACCACATTTCTTTTTATATTTGGGCAGTGAGTCTTTGCCATACTTACTGTGCCACCTTTAAAATAACCCATATTAAGATCTATATTAGAAAAAGTACATAGGGATGTTAGTAAGGGTGAATTGATTACAAATATCTCTATATAAAGAAATAAAATGGGGTTCAACTTCATACTGTTCTGCTCCGACTGGACTAATGAAGATGGGCTTACGCCATACACTGTGTTATAAATGTATGAGGGAAATTTTGCTCGGCCGACATCGCTATGGCCTACTCTTATATTGAAAACCAACTGTCATGGGTTATTTTATGTGCACATCAATATGTACGCAGGACTTTAGTATTTTACCCCATCCGAACAACTACACGCTGTCCTTGCCAGACCCTCCGTCCAGCACTACTGACAATGGGAACCCCACTGCTCTATGTAAAGAGGAGAAGCTAGTGAAAACTATATAAGTAGGTCAAATAATAACGATCACCTAAAATGAAAAGCTGGAAGTCAGAAGACAAAATGACCAATAAATTACCAATAGATCAATATCTAATATGAACGGAGTATTGAATTACGGTGGTCAACTCCTTCAGATCTATATATGGGTATTAAACTCTCAATGTTTTAATCAATGCCATGATTAAAGGGGAACTCCCAGTTTTCACGGTGTCTATATATGGGTAGTAAACTCTCAATATTTCAATCAATGTCATGATTAAAGGGGTACTCCCAGTTTTCACAGTGTCTATATATGGGAAGTAAACTCTCAATGTTTCAATCAATTCCATGATTAAAGGGGTACTCCCAGTTTACACTGTGTCTTCAAAACAAAGTTCATTTTAAGCATGCAAACCAAAAGTCAAAATGTTGAGAAATAACCAGTCTGACAATTTCAGCATAAACTATTGAGCTGTTCAGACATCATGACAATATCTGCTTTAAGGAGATGGAGAAAGAAAAATGGGGTTTAACGTCAACTCAACACAAACTAGATCATTTTAGGATAGACACATGGTTCAGTTTTATGACAAGTATGGGATTGAAACCATGCCACTTGATTCATTGACAGACCTTATAATCTAAAGTGCACATGGTTTTGCTTTAAGGAATTCTACGTATGAGTGAACTTATCAACAACCACACATGAAAATTGAATACAGACTAGGATAAACGTGGTTTCCCCTTGTCAGTGGTGCAGGACGGAGGGTCTGACAAGGACAGCTGTCTAGTTGTTCGGATGGGACAAAAAAACGTGGTCCCGTGTACACATTGGCATGCACGTAAAAGATCCCTTGGCAGTTGGAATTCGATCTAAGAAAAGGGCATAATTCCTCTCATAGCATACTGTATGGTGTATGCCTGTTTTTGTTAAAGAAGATACCTGTATACTTTCCTTATAGCAAAGATTTGCAGGTAACAAAGGGCACAAAAATCAACTAATGGCAATATTTCAACCATCCAAAACTTAGGCTTTGCTACTGTTAGCTCTGCTTGAGAACAGGCCCTAACCTAATTGACAGATGATCTGAGTCGAAAACACTATGCATACTTTCAGAAATTTACTCCTCTTCTATTTTCATATTTAATGAAATTAAAAATGTTTATTTTGTCATTGTGTGTATGAAAGATGTCAAACGGATTAGAACCTAAGCACGTTAAACCCAATTTCATTTCATTTAATTTCTAGGAGTCTTCCACACCGATTCAATCAAATATATCTGTGATGGCTCCTTTAAGATGGTTTTATGGTTGAATCAATGATTAAGATGACCTGAATGTGTCCAATACTTTTCGATCAATTGATCCAATGATAAAATGCTGACTATTAACTGACTCTGATAGAGTAGTAATTGGATTCAGTAGTAGTCGTATATATCCCATTGATATTCACAATGTAGTACTTTTAGTTTCCCTATCCTTAATTACAGACGCGGTCTTTCAAAGTCCTTTATACCCAAGGGAAAAACAACCTAGTGCCAATTCGAATCACCAATAAACATTTTCATTTTTCATGGATTTATTCGGGAGATTCTCTTTGATCGGAATTTTTATTCACATTTCTGCTATTTTAGGCCAAAGGAAACCAAATTATCAAATGTAATGCTATTTATACCAATTATTCTGTGGAAGGATAATAGAAATTGAACAGAATTGTACACTTTATAAGGTTATTGAAAACTTGTTTATATCATCTAAGAGATTGAGTTATTATAATAAATGTTTCATACTTCTAAGATGGTTTGGATGGCAAAATGGTTAGCATGTGCGCGTTGTATCATAAGGTCTGTCATTGAGTCAACTGGCGTGGTTTCGATTCCCCGGTTGTATGTGACAAGGAGTAGGGTTGCCTGTCCAACCTTGTGGGTTTTCTCCAGGTCCTCTGGTTTCCTCCCGCTAAAGACCCGTACGCACAGGCGAATTATTGAAATAAAATTGAACCATATGTTAGTCCCGAAATGACCTGGTTTGTGTCAAGTGTATGTTAAACCCCATTTCACTCTCTCGCTTTACTTCTACTTCTCAAAGAAGACATAGTATTGATTAAAACACTGATATTACAAGAATATCATCAAGGCTAGCACCATAAAGTGAAAGTTGTAAAAAGATATTATATTTATGATAACTAATCAATCAGTGACTATAAATATTGTGTATGATGTAAATTCTAACAGTAAATTTGAACAATAGATTACATGTAATCAGCAGTCATCATTTTTCAATGTGTTTAAAGGCTCAATACCACTCTTGTTGTAACAGAATAATATGTCCCAATCTTTATTCTGGTCAACAACTTGTACTATTTTACAATATTCCAATTAATTGATGATACAAATTTCATCTTAACACATCTAATTTAAAAAATTGGAAAAATTCAACTAAATGATTTGAAAAGCCTTACGTAAACCTTTTCAAATGTGACTTGGATTTAAAAATATTTTCGAACCCTCTGGACAAGTAAAATAGGATGTAATAGATAATTTACACAACAGGTAGGACACTAACACATCTAATACTTAGAATAAGGTTAATATTTATTTACTAGAGCTGTCAAGCCAGCAAGAGTGTTATTGTCCCTTTAAGGGGGGTTGATCATGAGGTGCCAAAAGGTTTAACGCCACCCACTTGTATTTCGCAAGGAGGACGATCCCCTGTTCAACCTTGTAGGTTTTCTCTGGGTCATACGGTTTGCTCCCACTGCTAAAGACCTTTACCCACAACAAAATTACCTGCTTTGTGTCAAATGGACCTTTCTCTCTCTTTCTCAATGTGTCTAGTCATTCAGATAGGATAAAAAATAACATCCTATACATGTATGTCTTTGAGTAACTGGAATCCTTGGCATTAGGAAAAATTGCATCACTTTCATTAAAAAAAAACTAAGCCATAGGACACATAAACAAAAAGACAATGTCATCATCATCATCATCATCAACATTCCACACGACTGTATATCAAAAAGTCAAATTTGTTTTCATGGTAATACAAAAACTGTTAACTCTATAAATTAATAATCCGCAAAATGCACATAGTTTGATGTGTGTGTATTATAAGGTATAAGTTTCATAAAACTGGGACTAACGAAAGGAAGGACATACAGAGTCAGTTTCAATATCGCTCCTTAAACCTCATTCAGCAGGGGATAAAAATTATAAACGTTATCGTCTCAAAATGTACAAAGGTAATTTTCTATTATATCAAATCAAAATGAAACAAAATTTCTTTCACCCCTTGCACTAAGCCAACAGATTGAGGGTATATCTAAACACCTTCAATAAATAGGTCAGGTCTGGCAACCAGGTTCTAACAAGGTCAATTGTACTCGGCAGATATTTTCCACAACACACAAAATTTGTCCATCTGGTTGAGCGATTGTGGACTTCTATTAAGTCAATTAAATAATAAAATGTAATAATAAATAATGATTTATCGTCTGTTTTTCATCATGATGACTGTTCACAGATCAATACTGGGAAACGATATATAGATAGTAATTTCAGCCATGTTGTAAGTAGCACCTATAATATTAAGACCACTCAATAAAACGGGTGGTATTATTACCCAATAACGGATTAGTTCTTACTC